CGGCGCTGCTGCCACCGCCGGCAGCGATCGCGGCGGCGACCGGCGCCTTGAAGTCGGCGCGGGTAAGGCGGCGGCGAAGACCCGTGGGTCGCTGTGTCGCAGCAGCAGCAGCAGCAGCGGGGTTGACGGCTGACGAGGCCATCCAGGAGTCAAAGAGCCGCTCCCGTACGTCCAAGATGTAGCAGGGCACCTGGAGCAGGAGTCCGAGCAGAATGTGAATTCCGAATGTTAAGTCGACATCTAGGAAGTACACGACTAAAATTTCTTAGCAGTTGGCAGCTTCTTACTGTAAGTACTTAGATGATTTATTTCAATCATTGGCAGCAAGGCGGACCAAAGAGTCAAAACTCCCCTAAGCGGTCCCTCACCCGAATATCCGTCAAGCAGTGCACCCCCACGTCCTCCGGGCGCAGCTCCCGTAGCAACGCAAACAGCTGGTTGTTGTCACCCTTTCAGTTGTACGGCAAGGACGAGCAATTAGTTAAGTCGGACACGCAAAAAACATAATTATATCCTTCATGGGTGCGTGGGTGTCACCCGGGGAAAACAATACAGCGCGACGACGGAATGCTATCTTTTGGTAGCAGCATTAGCAGTAGGGCAGTGGGGGCACTGGCAAGCCCGCACCCACGCGACGTGGTGGTCCAGGAAGGGCGCGCCTGTGGAGCCCGGGGATAAAAAACGCCTTGGGAAGCGTTTTTGTGAGCTGGGAGCCTTTCCCTCCAACCCCCTCTCGCCCCTTGTGAGTGTGCAGGCACGACTCTCATGTCGAGAGTGCGTGCCGTTAAAACGCATTTGAGAATTTCCATGCCCCAACCTGCCGTACCTCCATGATATGCAGTACAGACCTGCCGTACAATACGAGCAACCCTGTGACCCTTTCCTCCTTAGAGTCCGCGTACTTGCAGAGAAGCGGCTCCCAGAAGCCTGCCACAAACAAACACCGCACAGCATATCACCGCACAGCATATCACCGCACAGCATATCACCGCACAGCATATCACCGCGGCGAAAAGAACAAACAAACAAACAAACACACACAACGGATACAGCCGCAAAGAGAGACCATGATATAATGTACGACGCAGACTGCGGAAAGATCTCAGGATATATATATATATCATTCGTACGAACTGCAAAGAAAATCAGCAGTTCGAGAAACCACCACCACTAGTGTACACCGACCATCACGTCGATTAGGAAAGGGCAAACCGATACATCTGCAGAGCAGCACATCTAAAGGCAGTCAGCAATCCTCAATTCCGCGTGGAGGCTCCCGGCAAGGATGGAAAAGGCATGTTGAGCCTCTGTATATATATAACCTCTGTAAAGCGCCCTTCTTCCTTACTGTTCTCCTACTCCGCGGGCCGAGGACGCGACCATCAGTGAGGCGACTTCTGCGCTCAGCCATGACCGGCCAGGCCGTTCCCACCCTAAGGCCATCCCTCCCCCACAAACCCCAATGGATGGCCTCTGGGTTGGGCGCTTTCCCCCCTGCCTGTGCTTCCCTGTCTGTTCCCCAAGCATCCTGTCTGAGCTTTGCTTAATGACGGTCGTGAAGGCATGTCTTCTATAAAATGCTCCAGTCCTCCTCCTGAGCCACCTACGTTTGTGCCATTCGATGGTTGCCCAGGGCATGCCGGACGTCGCCACACCAGCTGACGACGCTGTAGCAGGCCCAGATCCGGGTTTTGATCCAATTCCGAGGGAAGGACCGGATCCGAATTCAGATCCAGGTCCAGGCCCGGAGTTAGGTTCCGGAGCAGGTTCCAACATTGCGCAAATCACCACCCTGCCCAGGTTGCTGTTGTCGTTCCTGACGTTCGGCTGCACGTGGTGGTGCTGTGGCGGAGAAGAGGAGGGGGAGGAGGAGGAGGAGGAGGAGGAGGAGATCAGCGCAAGGGAGGAGACTGCGAGGACGAACATCAACACGCCTCTGCTACACCGCCTTCCCAGACCCCCTTTTTCTCTCACCGCCCCCCTCTCTCTATCTTTCTACCTATCCTGCTTCCCAAACACCCCCAAGATCTCCCATTCCCCCTCATCCCCCTCCTCCTGCAATTCCCCCCCCCCCTTCACCTGGCTGCCCCGGGACTGTAGCAGGTAGCCCGGCAGCTGCGCCGGAGCCTTTCCGTCTTCGGAGCGGCCCTTGGAACCGCCCTCAGCGACCCACCCCTCAGGTCGCACAGGTCCTGTTTCCCTCGCCGCCTCCCGCGCCTCTGGCAAACCCGACTCCGCTGCTGATGGTGCTGCTACTGCCGCAGGGGTCGAAATGGACACGTTCAGTTTATGCGCTGCTGCTTCCCCACCACCTGGTGGTGGTGTTCCTGGCGCCGGTGCCAGTGTTCCGGGAGCTGCCACTGCCGAAGACGTCGGGACAACGCGACCTGCGGCTACAGTGCTGCTACCAACAGCCCCGCCGCCGCTGGCAACGGCGGCAGCAGCAGGCGGCGGTACCATCACCGACGCTGGCGGTTTTGCTCGCGATGGTGGGTTCAATCGGGCTTTTTGGCGCTGTTCACTGACCCATATCAGCACCAGGGCTCTTACAGCATTGAAAGCCAGCATGGCAGTCAGGGCCCAGCCGGCAGCAGACAGCAGTACGGTGGTGGCGCCGCCGCCGTCCCCGGGGAGGCTGGCCCTCCAAGGACACACGATAATCATATGGGGATAACACCACCACCATAATAAACAGCACCACCACAACATCAATAAGGAGGATAAGGTCAGGGAATGGGAACAGGAATTTAGGGAGGGACTGGAAAGGGCGTAAGCAAGGGGATACAACGGGAGTGCGGAGTACATTCGGGTGCGAAGCCAGCTACTGTAACTGAGAAGGGAACAGAGCAACAGCCGGGGGATGGAGGGAGGAGTACGGCGTGGAGGTTGGATGTCAGGGTCACGTCTGACGGGGGTGCGCTAGTGCTGTATTCCTTGATGTGCTGTTCGCAGCACCGGAGAGGTACCTGGAGGAGGGTGGGTGTTGTTGGGTTGGCTGAGTGCGCCATTGTTGGGGGGGTGAGCTGCTGCATATCGGTAAGGGGCTGCGGACGTGATGGCGCTGAACGGCGTTCCCCGGCTTGCGGCGAGAGCGGTGGGCTACGTGAGGACCTCGCGCTGGGTCTCGACCGGGAGAAGAGATCAGTAAAGGTTGTTGCTTGACCGCAAGGGCGCCCGGTGCAAACATAATAAGCCTTCGCAGACAGCTGAAAACTGTCGGCGCCGTGACGAAGTCAGACAGTCGACTTGGTGGTGAACCACGAAAGGCATATTACATGGGTAATTTGTTTAAGTATAAGGACGTGTTCCTTTCAACAATTACTTATAAAAAGTTTGGAGACGCCATTACAAGCGATGACTACACGGTTGCATTTCGTTTGACACTTAGGCGCGCTCCTATCGTTGAAAAAATTACAGGTTGCAATCCAAGTAGGTTAATAAAGTTACTCTTCTGTATTGCGGACCACGCCGCAAAATCCACATGCTCCATACTGTGCGGCTATGCTTTGCATGCTGTGGAGCAAGGGCCCCGAGCCTCCGTGCCGTCGTGAAGTACTAACCGCCCCTAGCATCAATCCTGTATCATCCTTCCATGGGCACAGGGAGCAAGCAAACAAACACCTCTTGAACCTGGGCGGCCCTAGCCCAAGGCAGAGGCGGAAAGGGAGGCGGGAACGGTAATTAGAAGGATTATGGGAAGGGATGAGGAGAACAAGGCGCGAAGGAGTTGTAGTTGTTGCGGTGCAACCCAACCGGCTCGTGTAGAAGGCTCCAAATGGAAATGACTATTTGTTCGATCCTCCAACCCTGAGTTCCGTACCAGCTTCCGTCTTTCTGCCTGCTCCGGTGGCGGAGCAGTCGCCGCTCCCCCAGGGCTATCCAACAACGCGCGTACTGCTAAAATCCACAGGAAATCGGGAGATGATGGGGAGGCAAAAGGCAATATGCCGAGAACGTCTCAGTTTGGAGTCCGGGCCCTGGACCCACCATGATTTTTGCGGTTAAAAAAAAGGTGTATATGTTAGTCCATGTGCAACTGTTTGCGATTGTTACAGTGGACCCCGATCGAGTCGAGTGCAGCGCTCCTAGGAACGCATCTCGCACAACATTGTGCAACAGCCAGCGCTCTTCACCCCGATTCTCGTCTCGGCCGACGGGTGTTGGGCCTGCCCGGGACCGGTCCGCTAAGTTTGTGGATGTTTCACTCGCATATGTCCAACGTCAAGCCATGTTTAATGCCACCAGCAGAGCCTTCAATGTGCCAAGTAAGGTCTTCGGGGCCCAGGGGCCGGGCATGTGACTTAGCGCCCAACGCATTACAATATTATATAGATACAGGTACGGCCGGGAGCTTATTGAAGGTAGCAGCAAGTGGTGCTAAGACTGAGCCAGGAAGTCTCCAGGTGACGGGTACGAAGTTGGTCAGTCGCACATTCCATCGGCATTTCCTTTAGCGTAATGCGTACCCTGCAGAGCATGCTTCATATCTGTTATCAAATAATCGCTTTAGGGGAGCTTATGTCTTCTCGAATTATCCAAGAATCCAACATTCTGCTGTGCTCGTCACAACCACTGATCGGCGGTGGTTTGCTATGACTTTGCAAGCGATTTTTCATGACAATAAAAATTTGTACTTGTCTGTTATTGACAAATACTTTAACATAGCATTTGGCTACAATCTTTAAAGTTTTTCTTTTGCGCTGAAATGCTTGCGTCGCGTGTGACCGCGTCGACATTCGCGTTCAAGTCGTGCGCACCGGGGAAGCATCTGCGCAGTGCTAAAATGATCTGCAACGCTTCAGCTCCCGTTGCGCAGCAGGTGCGCCTTCGTCGCCGAATGATGCTCACAGCAACTGCATGAAGCCTCCATCAAATACAACCTTAGCCCTATTCCGGACCTTGCGTTTCAACACATCAAATCATTCTGCCAAGCCGTTATGCCCCACGTTTTCGCATAACTGTCTACCACCAGACCACCATGTTCCCAACACCGCTGCCGTGCCGCCCTGATGCCGCTGCCCTGCCTCTCCGGCCTCACCACGTCCCAGGTGTTCACCATCGTTGGAGGCGGTCGCGTGGGTCAAGCGATTGCGGACATGGGACCGGGCGGCGATGTAAGCGCTGGGGCTGTTGGCACCGTGGGGGGCCGAGCCGGGCAGGTTGAACAGCGAAGCGCCTGCAGGCCCCGGGTCCCGGTGCATAGGCACAAGAGCGCCACCTGTTTCAGGCCGTGAAGGCACAACCCCTCCCTCTGTTCCGCAGGTGGTGGTGACCCGGGGCCAGCGTGTGGAAGGCCCCCCTGGACCCATCGTGGTGTGCACCCGCAACGATGACCTGCAGGTGAGCCGTCGGACCCCGCGTGTGACTCCCCCGCGTGTGGCTTCTGGCACTGTGCTGGAGGTGGTAGCTCAGGGCACCATGGGGGCACCGTGATAGGCACGGCGGCAGCGCAATGCACCGTACATAGGTCGTACTGGAAGGGGGATTTGGAGGGCTGCCTTCTTGGGTGAATGCAGCTCCCCGCTTCTGTACGGCGGAGTACGGTGCCGCATGTACTTGTAAATAGGTACCTTACTACGTGGTTCACGCTGACCTGATCCCCTTACAAAACGCGTCTTGTTCGGACCTGGCTCGCACTACCTCGGCGGTGTTGATCGGTCCCCAGGCAGTGGTGGATCTGACGGCCCCGGAGAGGCGACCAGGTGCGGCCAAGAGAGGAAAGCGCTGGTGGGAGCAGGGGGCGGGGGTGGGGGGGGTGGCAGGTGCGGTGGTGATGGTGGATGATGGTAATGATGATGATCATCCATGATCCTGTGCGCCTTCGCTGTGCGCCTCCCTCGCCGCTCTCCTGCAAACCGGCTGCTGCTACAGACCTGGTGTTCATCCAGAACGGAATGCTACAGCCTTGGTTGGACGAGCGCGGACTGGGCGAGAACACGCAGGTGCGCCGGTGTCGTTGGGTGGGTGGGTGGGTGGGTGGGTCAGTGACCAGAGGAAGGAAGGGTAATCGGTAAGCGGTGGACGAGCGGTTGGCGTTCAAAACTTATCAAAGATCTAGCTATCTAAACAGGCAGCTGGCTATCACCGCCATCCTGAAACCGTTGCCCTTTGCCCGCCCGTCAGGGGCTTTGTAGGGCCCTTAAAATTTCCCTGTTTCATAGGACCGCAGCTTCATCACCGTCCCGTCCCGTCCTGTTCCGTCCTGTTCCGTCCTGTCCCAACGGCTAGCAGTCCGTTTCTGGTTTCCTCGTCCGTGGTCCCCACCAGCGCTAACGCGGGTAGTGACCGGCCCCGCGCGCCAACAGGTGCTGGTGTACTTCGCGGTGGCGAAGAAGGGCGACAGGCCGACGGACGGCAAGACGGACGTGAACCCGGAGGGGCTGACAGCGGGTAGGGGCGACAGCGGGGTTCGCCGGGTCGGCAGGACAGTGACCCGTGGGTCGCTAAGAGGTGTACAGTGACAGCGATGAGTGTCGTGATGGTGACGGTGATGATGGACGGTGGAGAGGGTTATTAAAAGGCAAAACATCTTGAAGTGGACGACTGCCTATGCGTGTGGTCCTGCCGCCGTACGGTGCGTGTCCCTTTGGGTATAGACACCCGGCTGGTTTTCTTTTAAGTTATTTAAGTGGTTTTGCTTGTATATCCTCTTTTTAATCTGGCGTGTACCCCTATGGCTGGATTGCACTGGTGGCCGCGGCGTGGCGGCGATGTCGTACAGCGTACGGCAGACATGCGCAGGCGGTTGCAGACCGGCTTCACTCCGGAGGACTCAGTTGCAAGGTTAGTGCGGCCGTTTTAGCAGTTGCAGCCGTTGAGTTTGTTATGGTATGCTTGTGTAGTACAAATGAAACTGATCCCTCAATATATGTATTGAAACGACATATGTATATGCTGTCGTACTTTTGACACGCTAACAACCTTCTGTACGGCACACGTACAGGTGCTCGGTAAGAAGGACTTCACTCGGGCCATGTTGGAGAAGCTGGTTTGGATCAGGTCGGTGCCCACCAGGAGGTGTACAGCTTGTAGCTGTGCTATGTGAAAAAACGTTTATATGTCTGTGTCACGTTTGTATAACTTTTTTCCAATATTTTTCAAGGCAAAAGATTATGACCTGTCGTTCTTTGTAAATTTTTACGCACACACGCGTGCGTACGGAATAGCGGTACGGCCTGCTGCTGCAGACTGGCTTCCTGATGGACCCTACAGCTTTTTTCCATCACGGCGTTGTCCGCGGTCTCTCTGTCGCGGCATGGCGTAAACCCTCCGGAGCCGTATTCCTCTCTATAACCCGAACGACTTCACCCCCCCCTGTTTCCGCCACTCCTCGTGTTCCGAAACTCCGGCCAACTCCCAACTAACTTATAACTATCTTACCTTCTTATACTTCTTATCGTTTTACTGTCGGCTACTGATGGGGTCAGGGTTCCCGGAAACTTTGCGCTACGGAGGCCCTCGTGTGCCCGCTCGGGCGTCAGCACGGGATGGAAACTACTTGCAAATGTGCGCCATGCTCATAAGTGTGCAAGCCTAGTAAGTAGGCTTCTGGAACACAATCCCAACTCAACCCCACTTGTGTGTCCACTGTACTGCCACCCACCATCAGCGCCTACATGCTGGTGGGTGCCAAGCATAAGGTCTCTGTGGGACAGGTGGAGGCGCAGCACACGGGAGAGGTTTCGGAGCTTATCCGGGAGCTATGTACGGCAGGGGCGGCGGAGCTGGGTGTGGAGCTGGCGGGGGGAGAGGTGGAGCGGCTTAACGCTTACGCGCGCTCCGTAGCTCACTTCCCCACTGCAGTCAAGGAGGTGGGTTGAGGTTTTGGGTTGGGTGCTGGCAGATTGGGGATGGGTACGGAACGCAGACACGTGAGGACGTGGGACAATGGAACGGTTGGTTGGCTTGTGTTGGGACGCGTCGGTTACACAAGACTGAGCCGCATATGGGTACAAGTGTCTGCCATGCGGGAGGTGCACCAAGGGCAAGGATGAATCTGAAAGGGGACAGAGTTTGAAGGAAGGCGCTGGAAAGAAAGGCTGCAAGTATATCCAACAAGGGGACCAGTAACACCAAGACCGTCGTGGCTACGGCGCTTGACTCATGACTTGCGCTGGCATAGTTGTTTGACTGAAGTCCGTGTGCAATTTGCACGTTAACCTTGTGCATAAATTGGGCGTTAAATGAACTTTACACAAATCCGGAGCATGGCGCCAAAGCTGACGACTTTCTGTTCCTTCCATTGGCTGCCTGGCGTGCTGCAGTTCTCATGGCGCAATGGTTGGTTCTACGGGCTGACCCAGAAGGCGCTTACCGCAGGGCGGCCGGATCCATGCCCCCTCCACACCCAATTGCTGACAGAGGTCGGAGCAGTTTGATGCTCTACCTTTTCAATTATAATTTAATGGATTTTCACATGTAAATATGTAATGGCTTTCAAATTTATGACATTACTGTAAACTACAGAGTTTGCCTGCTAGTTGTACGTGCGCCGATTGCACGGCAACATGGATAAAGCAGGCCCAGACATTTGTAAATGCCTCGGCGTTAAAATATTTTTGTTCCTCATCGCCCGGAGGTAGCTCAGCCAAAGGCCGGCAGGAATCACCTGCGCCTGGTACTTCGCGCGACTTGGATAAGATGCAGGTCGCCGCTCGTCATAATACGCGCAGCGCGGCAGTGCGCCCCAAGGCTGCAGCACGGCGCGTGCAGGTGTGTTAACAGCGAGGTTGTTGCCGCAATCGGCTAGTGCTTCTAGACATGCACCCCGTAGCCGTTAGGTCGACCACAGCGACCACTTACAACTTTGATCACCGCGCAAAGCTTGTAAAGCTAGTGAAGCAAAACTGCATTAGTAACATGGAACATGCATTATATCCTATCAAGCATTGTACATACTCTGGAAGTTACAACTCAGCGACTACTTCATCATTGTGTGCAGGTCATCCGCGCTGCTCGCTATGCCAACTGGCGTGAGCAGCTGGAGAGCTCCCCGTCGAGCTACAGCAGCAGCAGCAGCTCTTCCGTTGAGCCGAAAAAGATTCTGATGATGGGTAAGGTCATGATGGCCGCTTGCACAATTTTGCACCTTTATAACGTTCCCTCGAAACCCATACATAGCAACACCTGTTGTAAACGGAATAAGTTTGGGGCTTAGTTACTCTCTTCTGCCCACTCCTCGCCCCTGTCCATTCCGCCACCTGCCATCTCTGCGGGCGCTTATACCGACATGCAATATGCTCAAAAGCCTTCCAAACAAACCCCGACGTGAACCTTTTGATCTGAATCGCCCGCACTCGCAACCTCCCCTTCCCCCCTCCCTCCCTTCCCACTGCACACATATACGCACACGAAACACACACGCACAGGCGGCACCCGCTTTATCGGTCTGTACCTGGCTCGTCAGCTCGTCGAGGCGGGCCATGAAGTGACGCTGTTTACCCGTGGCAAGAAGAAGGTGGCGTACGAGATCCCGGACGACACGCCCGCCTCCTTCGCGACCTTCTCCCGCTCCATCAAGCACATCCAGGGCGACCGCATGGTGGGTCTGGGGCCGCATGGTGGTGGCCAAGGGGAGAGCGAGGGGCAGCTTCACCAGGGTTCCCTTCGTCCACATCCACACGTGTTTTCTCCTACCCCTGCCCTCTCCGCCCATCATCCGTTTCACATCTCCCCCATTCGCCTCCCCTTCATCCCCGCCCCGTCCCGCCCCCTCCTCCTCATCTCATCAGGACTTCCCCGAGGTCGAGCGTAAACTGGCTCGCGAGGGGTTCCAGGGTAAGACACCTGAGACTAGAAAGCAGCACCAGCACCAGCAGTACCAACAGCAGCACAAGCAGCACCAACAGCAGCAGCAACCTGTGTGACTAGCGGCACGAGGCAAAGAGCCTTCTGTAGTGTGTATACAGCAAGCAGTGACCCTCAGGTGATGGCTGTGAAGTTCTGCAGGCTCGCAGGCAAGAAGGCCTGCAGAAGGATCCACAGCCCTCTCATCGGGGTGTTGTCTCCGTCAGCTCCCACACCACCCGGTCATAGCTGCCATTACAGTTGCCTTTTTAAGCAGCTTCTTGATTGCCTTGATTTCCCTGTTGGCAGTTGTATACGACATCAACGGTCGTGAAGCGGTTGAGGTCGAGCCCGTACTTGCCGGTACTCGGTCCACCCTGGAGCAGTACATTTACTGCTCGTCCGCTGGTGTGTATCTCAAGAATGACCAGATGCCGCATCGCGAAGAGGACGCCGTGGATCCCAAGAGCCGCCACAAGGTGAGTGCCTGACTGGTGCGGTGGGGTGGGGTGGTGGGGCGTTTGTTCATGTGTTCATGAAGTGGATTTGGAAATTAGGTTTACAAAAAAGAGGAGGCTGTCTGTCTGTGTTAGGCTCGCTGGGTTTGTGTTGGGAAAAGAAATGAAAAGAAATCAGATATGGCAACTTGAGCTACTTGAAGTTGTGATTTGTAAGAGGGTCACTTGTTTGGGTGGTTGGGTGGCCTTTTCCAAGCTCCCCAGGAACCACCACAGCGCCTCTGCTGCGCCTGTCTCCACCTTCAACAACGACAGTCTTAATGTACGACCAGCCGTACATTGATTTGTGCAGTGGCTCGTATATTATAGCCATGTAGTACAAATATTTTTCTTGCTCTCAAGAACATGGTCATCCGGCACACCCTACGCCACCGCCTATCCCGCCTACACCTCCCATTCTGCCTAAACCAACGCCGTTGCCGGTTTGCACAGCTCTTCTCCTCCCTCATCCGCATCCTCATCCTCACCCTCATCCTGTCAGGGCAAGTTGGACACGGAGGAGTTGCTCCGCAAGAGCGGCGTCAACTTCACCTCCATCCGCCCCGTCTACATCTACGGCCCCCTCAACTACAACCCCGTCGAGGAGTGGTTCTTCCACCGCCTGAAGGCGGGCAGGCCCATTCCTGTGCCGGGTAGCGGACAGCAGGTCACCCAGGTGGGCCCGGGGCAGTGGGGGGTAATGCTAGTGGGGAGTGGGGGCTGGGGTAGTGGGGGGTGCTGGGAATCAGGATGATGATGATGATGATGGTGGTGGTAGTGATGATGATAAAAATGGTAGTGATGATGAAAGCGAGTGATGCGCGCCAGCTGCCGACACGTCCGTCCAGATGTGAAAGAGGAGGGGACAGAGCGAAGCATGGGGGGCAGGAAGGGAGCAGCAGGTGGCGGTGGTGATTGCGGAGAGGCAGGGGGGTAAGAGAGGGGGTTGTCTTGTTGCGTGTGTCGGCGTGTGAATCGTTGCATGATGTGTGTAGCTGCAGCTGCCCATAAGGTGCCGGGCAGGTCGCGTCTTCATGGGACATACAAACTCCGCACGCACACACGCAAGCTGCCATATGTTCGCCGTACACTGGGTTCTTAATCTTTCCGTACCTTGCCGTGCTTTTTTAATTCGTACCTCTGGACGCACAGCTGGGCCACGTCAAGGATTTGGCCACCGCCTTCGTCAAGGTGCTCGGTAACAAGAAGGCTGCGCGCCAGATCTACAACATTTCGGGTAAGGAGGTGTCTGTAGATGTTCATGACCCATGGGTCGGTCAGTGCGACGAATTGGTGGGACTGAGTCATGAGTGTACGGCAACACGTCGCTATGGGTCAGATGGCATATGGGCCGGATAACCTTAGCCATTGCATACATTTCCCCTCCCGTCATCTTGCCGTGCCCCCGACCAGGCGAGCGGTTCGTGACTTTCGATGGCATCGCCAAGGCCTGCGCCAAGGCCATGGGCCTGCCGGAGCCGGAGCTCATCCACTACAACGCTAAGGAATTCGACTTTGGCAAGGACAAGCCCTTCCCTATGCGTGACCAACACTTTTTCGCATCCGTCGACAAGGTAACAGCCACGGTGCCTGTGTTGGGGGAATAAGAGAAAGGGAGGAGGCGAAGGGTTGGTAGGGTTTCTGGTGTGAAGGAGTTGACGGGTGGGAAGGAGGTGGGATCGGAACGGAGGTTGGGTCCTGTGTGAATGCTGTGAGCTGTAGGTGGAGTGTGCAAGGGCTGTGGTGAGGGGAAGTACGTGGGCTGGGGCCTGGGTGCGTGTTTGGATGATGAGGAGGAGGAGCACAGCAACCTCAGCCCTCCACCAGTACAACCCAACACCGCCTGCCTACCACTGTCACATAACCACCTGCGCCGCTTACCTCTATCCTCCTAAACAGGCTATGGCAGAGCTGGACTGGACGCCGGAGTTTGGTCTGTTGGACGGCCTCAAGGACTCGTACACGAAGGACTTTGGTCGGGGCACCTTCCGTAAGGAGGCCAACTTCAAGTGCGACGATTTGATTCTTGAGAAGGTGAAGGGCAGCAGCTTCGCCGCGGCCAGGGCCGCGCCCAAGGCTGCACCTGCCATGAGCCGCTCCAGCTGGCGGTGAGGAGGAGGAGGAGGAGGAGCACCAGTGCCAGGACCGGGAACAGCAGCTGGACGGGAAGGAGGAGAGGAGGAGGCGAAGGAGGAAAGAAGCCGTGGTGGATGCGAATAGGGGTGGGGAGAGGATGGCAGCGGTGGAGGTTGAGGTGGTGAATTGGTGGTTGTGGTGGGGGCGCTTGCTTAGCCTTCGGTTGTGCTGGGGGAGCTGGTCCATAACTTGTGGTGTGCAAGGTTGTGGAGATTTGGATGATGGAGGTGCATGGAGGGATAGGGTGCTGGTAAGTCCGTTCTGGGCGTAATTTTGTGTATTTGAAGGCAGCTTTGAAGTGTTTTTTTTGGTTCCACTTTTGTTGCCTTCACGTCCGCGGCACCGTGGCACCGGCCTCCGGGATGGGATGGAATCGGTTTTTTATGTCCCCCCCTACCTCCTCTCTACCTCTCTTATCTATGGAAGGCCACTCCGAGGAAAGACGCTGGCGCGGGGGTGTCCTATCCTGGCAATTGTGGAGATGTGTTTCCTATTTAAGCCAGGGCGGCACACGCCAGTGGTTGCTCAGAAATACCGCTCGGGATGTTTTCCATGGGAAAGAGTTTCTCGACTTGCGGAAGACGGAGGTGTTCATCGTGACAGATCCTCCGCCTGTGCATTTGCTGCTGGGCTGTTGTTGAGCCATGTTTTTTGGCGTATTTTTGGAACCATGTGAACCATTTTGGAACCAACCCCTGGGGGGGGGGGGAAATCCGCTTACAGAGACCAACATCTATCTGTACCTGTTCGCTTTAACTTCGAGGATATTCCAGTCAACTATTTGAAAAGGGGACAAGGGGCCAAGTGTATTCTCCGCACAGAGACCGAAAGGAGTAGCGACAGACAGGGGGCGACAAACAGGTGGGTACATACAACGTGCCGTGTCGCAGGAACATACACGGACAGTCCGACGAACATACATACGTACATACATACATGCGTACGCTAAGGTGACGTTCCCTATCAACAGGTCATCTTGACATGACCGGACCGGACCGGACTGGGGGTGGGGCTCTGGGGACAGCGACTGATCGCGGAGTAAATGTATACATGTATACTTGCCATTCATCCACCATGCCGTACCTCAGACGGCGACTTGGATACTGATGACGTCTAATTAAGCGCGCTAGGCACAGGACATCAACCAATCAACATCAAGATGTCGAACAACGGAAACTGTACAGCGCTAAGCGATGTACGGAGGCCGCCGATGGTGGATGCTGCCGTGTTGCTAGATGTGGGAGTCCATGTTTGTTTGTCCGTGTTTGTTTGTTTGTTTGCATGTTTGTGTTTGCAAATGGTGCACGCACACAACACAACAGCAATTATGCACGCCGGTCTAGTTCTATCGCTGCACACTCGCGCGATGTGAGGCTGTACGACGTCAAATGTGCCGTACTCGAGGAAAGCATCATCACATCATTAACAAGACAAGGGAAAAGATACCATACACACCAGTGAATATCACAGTGAAGCAATCAGTGAACAAAATATTTTCTTATCTTAACTGCAACAACTCTTCCAGCTACAACGACATTAAAGAAATGAAGGGATGTCGTCGGGCCATGACAACTCCACATTACATGCTAAGCGCCTAAGGCTCGCGTACTCTGGTTATCATCACCACTGCTGCCTTCAACGCAACTACGTTTTGTCTTTCCCAACCTTTCGGGACGCCTGCAGCCAGCTGACCCACGGCCCTCCTTTCCCCCCCCACACCCTTTCCAAACATCGCCATCCTCGCGCATCCGGCCAGTACCACCACATCTAAGCATTCAACGGGGCCGCCACTCGCACAAAATCAATCACGAACCCAAGCCCAAGCCTCCAACTATCCTACAAAACTACCAACTCCTCCAATAACCCTACAATTGCCACCTTTCACGGCCACCAGATCCATCTCCAACACACACACCAACTCCACCACCATCCCACCGCTTCCCTCTCCTCCTCCTAATGCTGCTACTCTCCAGCCTTCCTCGCTTCTTCCCCCCTGCGCCGTTTTCATCACGCCCCTTCACCCTTGCCCCTCACCACCCCAATAAAGCCGCTCACGCCAGCTTCGGCTCCAGTCCCGCCCCACCCGCACCCGCACCCGTTCCACCCTTACCCGTATCCGTATCCGCACCCGCCGCTACTCTTGCAGCCGCTGCCATCTGCTGCTGAACCTGCTCTTGTTGCTGCGCCTGTCGTTGCGTGTAGCTGGGCAGCCGCATGAGCGGCAACAGCAGCAGCAGAGCCACCCCGCATGCGGCCGTCAGGGCGGTGAAGTAGCCGGACCAGCCAAAGCGGGTGATGATCCAAGACAGGGGAACTCCTGAAACAGAGGCGCAGGAGGGGGGAAAACCACCGGGGAGCAGGGGGAGTAGGGGATGGGTGAAACACAGAGCAAAGCGCGAGGCGAAAGATAGAACCGGAAAGGCGCGCAGGCCGACATCACCCGCCGGCTTTTTCAACACGACGTGAATGGGGACGGCGGCAGATTAAGATGAAGAGGTGGTCCGCGCGGCATCATGGCACCAAGGAGCCATACATCATCCTCCCTTCACCCAGGGGGTTAGCTGCAGCGACGACGTGTGCCTGACATGTGCATACATTACCATGTCACGATAGATACTGCATGTCGTCAACTAGGAGCCTGTTGCAAGTGCGCATACAACATGCAGTGCAACCCCAGCCAAGCAGCTTCCCCCTCGAGCTGAGCTACATTCCTCCTCCGCCCCCCCTCCGCCCCCTCTCCGCCCCCCCTCCGCCCCCCTCCACCCCCCTCCAACCCCCCTCCGCCCCCCTCCGCCCCCCTCCGCCCCCCTCCACCCCCCTCCAACCCCCCTCCGCCCCCCTCCGCCCCCCCTCACCGGCGTTGGCGGCACCCAGGTACGCCACCCAGCCCAGCACCCCCTGGCTGGCCCCCACACTGCCCGGGTGAACCAGCTCAGCGCCACACAGCCCAATCAGCATCTGGGGCCGGTTCGGGAGTGGGGGAGGGCGTGCAGGCGGATGTTTTCGATTGGTACAAGGGGAGTGGCTTGGAGTATCGGCGG